TAACGTTTTAAAATTTATTACCTGATGGAAGAAATTCCTATCCAGAAGTTGGCAATTTCAATTAAATGCCATTTTAGAATGTTTTATTAATAAGCAATTCTGACTGAATTAAGTAGAAATCCCAATTTCTATGCTTCTCCCCTGTAGCTAACATTTTTTAGTACACCAGGTAATGTTCTAAATACTCCACGTGAACGGACTCATTTAATTCTCTTAACAATTCTTTGTAACTGGTACTACTTATCTTCATTTTAAATGCACAGAGAGGTTCAGTAACCTACCAAAGGCCACACAAGTAAAGAGTGGATAAGCTAAAATCTGAAGCTAAATAGTTTGGTTCTGGAAACTTGCACTCTATGTTGACTGCATTAGATAGGAAGGCTTTATTTATCACATTATTTTAGGAGAGGATATTTATCACCAAGCCACAGAGCTAGTTAGTGGCAGAGCTGTCTCACAGGCAGGTTCTGTCCATCTCCCAGATTATTATCACTCTGTTGAAATTTGATAAATTGAACCATCAAGCGGTATTTATTTATGGAGATGTGTTACTCTGCAGAGAGTATACATGATATTTAAACAAGGTCTTTTGATTGAACTACCAAATAAGTAGTATCATGTTTTTATTTCTGGGACTGTGAAGAGCTGGAAAATGTTCTGCTAGTTGGCAGGAGTCTGATACTTAAATAGCTAGATACTGCCAATCTAGAAAGATCTTTTCTTCTGTAACTAGAGCTGTTAATCTAAGGGCTTAAAACTGATTTTGTAAGAAAAGATGAGACACAATTATTAGGTCAAAAAATACAGACTGCTTCATCTATTTTGTCCACAGGACTCCTGGAGAGTCCCTTGGCCTGTGAGGTCTGTGGAGGGGGAGATGATGCATGCAACTATTGCTCTGAATAAAGGAGTAGGTATTGATCAAAATCCTTATTGTGAATGTTGGAGAAAAAAGATACCCACTTTCAAACTTTTCTGCAAACTTGACAGGTCTATATATTGTACTCTCTGATCCACTGGAAACTTAAGTGGACTAGAAACCTGATACTGTGGTTTCTCAAGTTGTACATCACTATGATTCAAAAATGTGTTCCTTTTAAAGACTTCTTTACACAGTTTCAGTAAATAAGTGCTCAACCGCTAGGTAATATAAACTTTATTATTATTTTTCTCTTTTTTTGAGATGGAGTCTCGCTCTGTTGCCTGGGCTGGAGTGCAGTGGCTTGATCTCGGTTCACTGCAACTTCCGCCTCCCGGGTTCAAGCAATTCTCCTGCCTCAGCCTCCCGAGTAGCTGGGACTACAGGAGCGTGCCACCATGCCCAGTTAATTTTTTGTATTTTTAGTAGAGACAGGGCTACACTGTGTTACCCAGGATGGTCTCGACCTCCTGATCTCGTGATCCCCCTGCCTCGGCCTCCCAAAGTGCTGGGATTACAGGCGTAAGCCACCATGCCCAGCACCATATTATTATTTAGAATATTTCCTGCCAATCAATTTCAGTGAATAAAATAGGTTTGACTGTCTATGTGTTTAGAAGACAAAATTCCAAGTAAGGTTTTCAGTTTTCAATGCACACTGGTGATTAAAAGGGACCAGAGTAAAAAGACAGGAAAGAAATGGCCACCATACCATCTTAAGTTTGGTGGCCAGGAAGCATTTCTGACAACAAATCTGTGAAGAGTTGTCTCAGAGAAGAGAGACACTTTGTGTCAGCAGAAGGCACAGAAGTTACACAGTAGCATATTTTACTTAATTAAAAAGAAAAAAAAAAAAAAACAGGGGAAAAGTCATTGGTTCAAGTCAGAACCCATCTAAGTTTTGAATATTGTCTTGAGATAATTTTGCCCAGATCACACAAATTGTAATTATAAAGGCTAGCGGGAGAAACCACGCTAGCTTCAGTTACTAAGGGCATGGAATTTGGTGCACAGCTAGAGAAGGGTATCCTGTGGTGGGAAGGGGAATGCCTATTAATACTACTTGTCTCCCAACAATGAATATATTTAGTTATATCCATGCAGGTATCTCTTGGGTATGGCTCAACTATTTCTGTCATATACAGTTCCTGAAAAGAAGAAATTATTATTGTCTTTTGTTGTGGTTTTTGTAGTCATCTTTAGAAAATTATTTCTGAGCTTTTCAAGAAGGAAAGAAGCAAAACCAGAATCATTTGCCTTTAATTTGTGAAGATCTCTCTTGCAAAGCGTCTTTTTACATGAACAGATTTTGCTTCTCATTGAAGTAAGAGATAAAGGCAACAGAAAGCATATGACAATTTCTACTTAGATTTTAAAATTATAGACAAAGCTCTTATACTATATGAATAAGGGTATAAAGCTAAGAATGCAAAAAAAAAAAAAAAAAAAAAAAAAACCAGGAACTGTAAATTAACGCCTAGAGACATGAAGTAGGCAATGCAAAAAAATCCATCCTATAACTTAATAAATACCAAAACTGAAAGGCAAAAGATTAAGTTGAAGAACCTAAATCTGAGTTTGTCCTTCACTAAAACTTATTTTTATTTCATTTAAGTCCCCTTCTTCTCTTCCTCTCTGGTGCTATGTCCAAAAAGTGATGATTCTGTTAGGTTCTCTACTACCCTAATGAACAGGAGAAAGAGTAAATAATTACCAAGTGTGACCTTAGTCCATGTGGCCATTCACAGATCCCTTGAACTGGGATAAAACTCAAAGTAGGGCCCGTGATCTTGGTATATAGTCTCCAATGCGTCTTGAGTATAACCAGCCTGATATTTTGGGGCATGAGAAAAAGTCAGCTGATGTATTTCTTCAAATGTTATTCTAGAAATTTACAGTTTATAGCATCGTCTATGTTTATAGACATATATACATAGTTTATAGAGCCTGGCCTATATTGGCAGGTTTTTCCATTAGCTTTCTTATCTTCAGTCGAACCAAACTTATTATTACTTGCAGCATACAAAGAGAATGGGGACGAACACAAGAAATTAAAAACTAAACTACACTGAAAACTGGTAAAAGCTAGATCACAGAAACCACAGTGCTTAAGAAGACACTGCCAATCAAAGTTTCTTCTTTTCCCTTCAAAACTTAACTTTTCTCTTATCTCAGCAAAAGCTAATCTTTTTATCTTTTAGACATTTTCTTAATTTATGTTTTCTTTCTTCACAGCTTCTCCAACTAATCCTCTAAATCATTCTTTTTCAACCACGATTCCTCATGTGAACCACAGAACTCAGAAAATGATTTACGGTGTACGACAATTTTTCTCAATTTTTCCCAAGGATGGTATATAATTAGTACATTTTAGATGCATAGGATGTATACAATGGGTGCTGCTTCAGGACACCAGAGTTCAATTATCTCTGGAAACCACACTGGCTCAGAAAAGAAAGCTCCTTTATTACTTTTATATACTTGTTTTACAGTAAAATAGGTTCATATTCCTCTACATACCATTAATCTGCTACCAATTCAGCTCATGTACATTAACTTTCCTTCTCATTTCAAGCCTTATCTCTCATGGTGGGTTAATGAGGTGAGTTAGGAACCAAACTACTGAATAATAAAAATGTAAAACTTTAATAGAAATTTGCCTGTTAAGTGTTTTGAAAAATCACTTGAAGGCATATAGATATAACCCACTGTTCAGTATTTTGTTGCTATTTTGCTTGCTTAGTTTGATTTAGCCATGAAAGCAGTATACAGGGTTTTCCTTTCATTAATCACCATAGCCAAGCACCTAGTATAGGGGTCAGGAAAATTTTTCTGTAAAGGGCCAGACAGTAAATATTTTGAGTTTTGTGGGCCATGCAGTCTCTGTCTCAGCTACTCAATTCTGCTGTCATAGCCCAAAAGCAGGCACAGACAACATATAAAGTGACATGAAATGGTATGGCTGTGTTCCAACAAAATGTTATGTTTAATACTAAGTGTAGACAGTAGTTTGCTGACCCCTGACTTAAGAGTCAGGGGTTAGCAGTTCAATAAATACTTTTAACTAATGATGATGGCAAAGGTAAGAAGCAGACCAGGGTAGGGACAGTTCCATAACTATACCTTCCTACTATATAGCAGTGATACAATTAGTTTCTGGTTTCTGATAAGTATAAAAGTAAAGACTAGAGTTTTATATCCACCTAAAGTATATCCATGCATTTGCGGTGATTCTGGAAATAAGCAAAAAGGAGAATAAATACTGTTGCTTTTTTTTTTTAATCATTTAATTAGAACAGTTAACTGAACCTTCAATGAATAAGTAGAGTGCTGATGGCTGACACATATATAGTCAAAAGAGTATTCAGTTACATACCCTTTCCAATACTGATTTATCATCAGTTTGTACTTATTGAGTACTACCAGGCACTAGAAACTAAACAAAACACAAAAAACAATGAGACTGCAGTCATTGATTCCTGACTAGAACTGTGCATTAGAATCACCTGGGAGATTTTTAATTTTCTTTTTTTAGAGCCCCACTCAAAAACCTACTAAATCAAAATCTTACTTGTTAGGGCCCAGGATAAAATTTTATAAAAGGGACTTTAGTAATTTTGGGAGCTCCTGGTGAAGAATCATTGCTAGAGGTTTATATTTTTAATGAAAGGTTAAACTCTAAACATTTTCTAATCTATGGTCAGCAATTTGATATTATAGTTTAGGCACATGGGCTTTAAAATCAAACAGCTGGGTTCTAATCCCATTTCTGCCAATTCCTAGCTGTATAACCCTGGGGAACTTCTCTGTGCCTGAGTTTCCTCATCTGTAAAATGGGCATAACATCAACTCAACTCAGCATTGTTGGGAAAATTCAATATGTAAAAAATAGCTGGTGTAGCGCTTGGCACACACTAAGCACACAACAAATATGAACTATTACTACTTATTACACATTTCTTAAATTAAGAATACTATCAAGTATACTACAATTTAACGGCCTGACTCAAGGTGCAAAGTCTCTTTAATAACTATTGGAAAGAAAGGTGATTAGACTGATTCCAACTTATCTTATACTAACCAGCAGAAGAGGTGTCCTTTTCCACAATCAACAGCAGGCGCTCTCAGCAATGGAAAGCTGAGTGTATCAGATCCAGATGTATTTGACCCTTGTTTTGTTAGTCTTACTGCTCTGTCACAGCCTGGAGTAGGACACCATTTAATGGCAGGATTATTTTCAACAAAGGCCTGTTTAAACAGCAATAACAAAACACAAAAGAAAATATTTTAATGCTAAATTCTAATACAGAGTGTACCTCTATGGTCATTTACTATAAAGCAAAGAAAGAAAAAGAGTGAAATAAAATGCATGGAGTTGTCAGTCTCAAGAAATTTAAACAGTACTGGAAAGTACTAAAAAAATTATTAAAGGGAAAGTGGCAATTAACTTAGTAACAAAACTATTTTTAAAATTTATGTTTTCTTTAGTCTAAAAACTATGTAAATGATGATAAAGTAAAAATGTAATTGTTCGCACAGAAAATATGTAATTTTAAAATGTTTTCTCATACAATGTGTCACTTTCCTGATGAATATAATTATTAAGTAGAAACATGCATGTAGCTGTATTAGAAGAGTAAATTTCTAAATGGTACCCAAATAATACATAATAATCAATACTATGATACTTTCTATGTTAAAGAAGAGGGGGCTGGGCACGATGGCTCACACCTATAATCCCAGCACTTTGGGAGGCCGAGGCAGGCAGATCACCTGAGGTCAGGAGTTGGAGAACAGCTTGGCCAACATGGAGAAACCCCATCTCTACCAAAAATACAAAAATTACCCGGGAATAGTGGTAGGCATCTGTAATCCCAGCTACTCACAAGGCTGAGGCATGAGAATCGCTTGAACCTTGAAGGCAGAGGTTGCAGTGAGCTGAGACCACACCACTGCACTCCAGCCTGGGAGACAGAGTGAGACTCTGTCTCCAAGAAAAAAAAAAGTAGGACTTGTCTTTTAAAAGTTCACATATTAGACTCAGTAAAATCTGCATAAAGCAGTTAAAATGTAACTTTTAAATCTCACACACACAAAAGAAAGTAACTCACTTATAACTTCTCACACACACAAAAGAAACTCACTCACTTATAGGTAACCTACACTTATAACTTCTGAAAAAAAAAGACAAAGAAAGATGAAATAAACATTATAATTCATTAAATAAACCTATTACTTGGAATAAAAATAATAAAACTTCCAAGTTGAGAATCTTTATTTCCAAATATTTTAAGAGCATGAAAGATAATGTCTTTTAAAAAACTTAAAGTAGGTAAAATCTAATTTGAACATTATGATCAATCAGTTACTAAAGTGCAACAGGCAAATTAATAAAAAGTTCTGATAAATAGTTTTATTTTAAATTTTGTAAATTACTAGTACTTTAGCCTTTCCCCTTTCCTTTTATTATTATGAAATAATGCTTTAGCTTCAAACTTTGTCACCATTCCTTTATGCAACTTTTCTGATAAAGTATTTCTAACAAAAGACCCATTATTTTGTTTTCAAAAATAAAACAAAAAGAAAAAATAATGTTATAAAGGTTTAATAAAATCAAAATTACAGAAATTGGACAGATAATTGGTAGCATACCTTACCTTAATATCAAACTGTAGGTATCGTTTGTCCATCTCCTTTGAAACTACACTTTCTATGATATCCACAGGCACAAGTTGGAAGCAATCATATGCAGGGCAAAAAATGTTGTGAGCTTCACCTTCTTGAATTTTCAGATTCAAAAACCTATTAAAATGATCAATGGACAGCAAAGGAGCAAGGATATTACATTGCACGTACATTCTAAGAATTTTCCTTTTTCTTCCTTTTTTTTTTTTTTTTTTAGAGACAGGGTCTCATTACATCACCCAGGTTGGAATGCAGTGGCACGATCACAGATCACTGTAGCCTCATACTCTTGGGCTGAAGCAATCCTCCCACCTCAGTCTTCTGAGTAACTAGGCCTCCAGGTGCATGCTGCTATGCTGGGCTAATTTTTAAATTTTTGGTAGCGATGGGTCTTGCTATGTTGTCCAGACTGGTCTCGAACCCCTGGTCTCAAGCGATTCTCCTGCCTTAGCCTCCTAAAGCTCTGGGATTATACGCATGAACCACTGTGCCTGGCCAATTTTTCTTTATGCTGAATTTTTTGTCAGAGTATAATTAAAATAATACCAACAAGTGTGAAACAGCAACTGTAATGCATATTATCTGTTAAGCCATTCGTTTTATATATCAATATATACACATACACATAAACATACACTCGTATGTTTTATGTTTCTATTTTGCTTTATTCCCTCTAAAAATCTGAAACAATCTGAAAAAATACTTTTATTTAAAATTAAAAATTCAGAAATGAGTGGCTCAGAAAGGTCATATTCAATTCTCAATATGCTATAGCTTTAAAGAAAAGGAGGCAATGGTATAGAAATGAGCCATAGGTAATTCAAGAATATTTTGGGGTGGCATTAAAATATAGCATAGATTTTTAAGAATAGGTTTATAGGTTTTCTCTTTATATTTCATTTAGACGAATATTAAAATAAGTTTTATGTCCTACTTAGGTATACTTGAGTAGTGAGGGAAAAAATGCCCTGTAAACAAAGAAGCAGGAATCCAGCCCAAGGTTAGATTAAAAGCAGGGTTCTTTTTTTCTTTCTTTTACTTTCTTTCTTTCTTTTTTTTTAAAGGTGGGGTCTCTCTCTTTGCCCAGGTTGGTCTCAAACTCCTGGGCTTAAGTGATCCTCACACCTCAGCCTCCTGAGTGAGTAGCTGGGATTACACGCATGTACTACCATGTCCAGCTAAAAGCAGTGTTTTGAGTTAGAAAATTCCAGGTCTGTCACCAACAAGGCATATGATCTTAAGCAATTTATTTAACTGCTCTAAGCCTCTGTTTCACCATACATAAAGTGGAGATAATAATGTGAACTTTCCAGGGTTGTTATACAGATTATATATGTGAAAAATCTACATGGTGCATGACATAGAGTAAGAATTCATAAATTTTAGTAAGGATTATTATTTGTTTTGTTTTTTTTTAGACGGAGTTTCACTCTTGTTGCCCAGGCTGGAGTGCAGTGGTGCAATCTCCGGCTCACCGCAACCTCCGCCTCCTGGATTCAAGCAATTCTCCTGCCTCAGCCTCCCAAGTAGCTGGGATTGTAGGCATGTGCCACCACACCCAGCTAATTTTGTATTTTTAGTAGAGACAGGGTTTCTCCATGTTGGTCAGGGTGGTCTTGAACTCCCAACCTCAGGTGATCTGCCCGCCTCGGCCTCCCAAAGGGATTAATACTGCCCTTAGAAAAGCAAGAAACAAACTTTTGAAGTACAGATTATTGCATATTGAATTTAACACTTAATCTAGAGAAAATAAATGGAAAACCAGGAAATTAAATCACAACTGCTTAGTCCTCACCATCAACATTTTATTTCACTAACTATAGTATCTTTTTTCTTTAGTTCTCTCATTCTCTTAATTCCACTGCACTTAACAACAACAACAATAACAACAACAACAACAACAACAAAAACCTTATTGAGACCTTGGCAGGCCCATTCCCTTTGCTCCATCTTCTCTTTCATATCCTCGTCTGGGCAATTCATAGAAAAGAGAGTCCCCAACAGGCAGTTCTCTCACTCCAAGTGCTCTCTACCACACCTCAAACCTAGCAGTATCTTTAGCGTTCTTTCCTCTTCATCCCACTTACTTCTGTGAGAGAGCTTTCTCTTTTACTCCCAAGCTAATCCTCAAATCCTCTGGCCAGCTCTGGGACTTGCACTATCCAATAACCTATCCTTTCTGTCTTTTACTTTCTAATGTCTCTTACCTTGGGCACAATAAACATGCTCAAGTTTTTCCCATTTTAAAGACCCTTACTAACCACATGACTCTCTTTTGTTTCATTTTCTTTTTCTTTCACATCAAAGTTTCTTGACAAAAGAGTTTATGATGATCTGTTATTCCTTCCTGAAGCCCATGTCATTCACTTCTCAATCCGCAGCATCTGGCTGCTATCACCTCTTCACCGGGCCACAATGATTACCCATTAGCCTAATTTATTAAAGAATTCACAGTTTTTATCTTCCTTGATTTCTCTAGAGCATGAGACACTGCGAACATTTCCTTCTTTCAAATTCTCTTTGGCTTCCAGGATTTTTTTTTTTTTTTCCCTTGGCATTCTTCCTACCTCTGGTAGATCCTTATCCATTTTTTCACAAGCAGTGTTTTCAATCCTGTGCTAAGGAGTGATATATAAGGTATATTGTGGCCTGCTACGGTGGCTCACGCCTGTAATCCCAGCACTTTGGGAGGCCAAGGTAGGCAGATCACAAGGTCAGGGGTTCGAGACCACCCTGATCAACATGGTGAAACCCTGTCTCTTCTAAAAATACAAAAATTAGCTGGGCGTGGTGCCAAGCGTCTGTAATCCCAGCTACTCAGGAGGCTGAGGCAGGAGACCCACTTGAATCCGGGAGGCAGAGGTTGCAGTGAGCTGAGATGGTGCCACTGCACTCCTGCCTGGGTGACAGAGCGAGACTCCATTTCAAAAAAAAAAAAGAAGTCTTAAGACTAAAAGTGGAGAACTGTTAACTGTAGAGTTCTTTTTTCACATAACAAGATTCTCTTCTTTTTAGCTATGAATAGATTCCCTGGGAAGTTGGATAGTCTCTTGTCAAAGTTCACAGTTTGCTTAGACATAGTTACTACATGATGATGTTTTGAATTTTACATATTTTAAATATATCAGAGAAGATTTCATCATCTCTGGGGAATTAAATTACAGAACTGAGAAGACCTCATTGAAGACAGGATCAGTTCTGTTGGCCATGTTATTATTTCTCATCAAGACACAATTCAATAAAAATGTATGAGCAGAACATGGAGTTGATGAGTGTCAGTAAAAGAGATAAATGTGGGGCAAACTTTACCTATATTTTTATCTTGCAGGTAAGATACACAGATGATATCATAGGTAGGTTCTCTCTGCTTATTACAATGCTTAGGAATATGATAACAATACTTATTGAGCGATTACTACATGCAAGATCCTGTTTTAAGCACTTTACATATATTAAGAAATTAAAAAAACTGACGATAATCCTATGAAGTACATACTGTCATCACCACTTTATAGATTAGGAAACTGAGGAACAGGCAGGCTACCACTTACCTAAATCAATAACTAATAAATAGCAGAGTTGGAATTCACAACCCAGTGGCCTATTGTATCTAGAACCTGAGCTCTTATATTCTCAATATTAGCAAAGAAATTCTGTTCTGGCTAGAAAATAATAATTTCTATCTAATCTGTTGATTGATCGATCAATCAATTGATAGGATCTTCTTCTGTTACCCAGGCTGGAGTGCAGTGGTGTGGTCATAGCTCACTGTAGTCTTGAACTCCTGGGCTCAAGTGATCCTTCTGCCTCAGCTGCCCAAGTAGCTAGGACTACAGACATGCGCCACTATGCCTGGCTATTCCCTTTTATTTCAGCCCTTGGCATCAATACTTTAAAGCAGGGGTGTCCAATGTTTTGGCTTTTCTGGGCCATACTGGAAGAAGAACTGTCTTGGGCTACACAAAAAATATACTAACAATAATGACAGCTGATGAGCTTAAAACAAAAACAGCAAAACAAACAAACAAACCAACAAAAAACACAAAAAAACCTCATAATGTTTTAAGGAAGTTTATGAATTTGTGTTGGGCCACATTCAAAGCTGTCCTGGGCCACATGCAGCCTGTGGGCCACAGTTGGACAAGCCTGCACTAAAGCATCTAGCTGTACTAATAAAAAGGTTGGGAAGAGTAAGATAGATTGAGGGACTTTCAAACTATCTGAGGACCTATAAAAACGCTTCCTTGGTTTTAGATAGGAGTTTCTTTTCCTATGTGCCTATTTAAAAAAACTGTGATAATTTAAAAATGATTTCATCAACATATGAATCACCCAACATGGACCTTCTTTTATTGGTGCTTGATTTGACAAACTTGGAAGGGATGGAAAGGAGAATCCTAGGTAGGCTAGAAGGTACTAATGAAATCAATAAATAGATCTTTGAAATTTAAATCTTACCATACATTTCTTATGGCTAGTTTGTGATGAGTTTGGGAGATAGTTTCCGTGATACAAATCAGGTGAGGAAGGTCAATGAAGCTCAAAAAAAAAAAAATTTCAAGAAAATCCCTAGGGGACTCAATTTTCATATACATACCAAGACCAACAGCTAACTTGGTAGAGCTCAGGTAATACTTCCTAATTCAGTACAGTTAACAACTAAGATAAATAAAATTTTACCTGGGAAGTATTTTCTGCCTCCACAACTGGGTTAAGGATAGCTTTGGATTGTGAGCTCTGACCTTTGTCAATTAGTTTACCTGTAACAGGTGTACTGATCTGATCCTATTTAAGTAGACTCTGAGTAGAATCTAGTCTATGTCTTAAAAGGAACAACCAGATATTCTGACTTAAAAAGCAGTAGTTTTTCCCCCCTCCAAATGAAATCTTACCTCTGACTCCAATTTGGAAAACAGATAAAGAAATGTACTCAAAATCAAACCAGACACGTTGGGGGACTGAGGTGAGTGGATCACTTGAGGTCAGGAGTTCGAGACCAACTTGACCAACATGGCAAAACCCCATCTCTACTAAAAATACAAATATTAGCAGGGTGTGGTGGTAGGCACCTATAGTCCCAGCTCCCTGGGAAGGCAGAGGCGTGAGAATCATTTGAACACGGGAAGGAAGATGCTGCAGTGAGCCAAGATCATGCCACTGCACTTCAGCCTGGGTGACAGAGTGAGACCCTGTCTCAGAAAAGAAAAAAAAAAAATCAGAATGACAGCTCAGTGGTTGCCTACAAATGGGGGTGATAAAAGGAAGGCAGAAAGAGAAAAGTAGCAGGGATTCAAGGGGAAATGAGGAATTGGGAATGATAGATTCTAGGGGTTGTAGTGATGGTTTCAAGGTTGTATAGAAATATCAAAGCTTATCAAATTATTTATTTTAAATGTGTGGCTTTATGTATGTCAACTGTACCTCAACAAAGCTGTTTAAAAAGAAGAACTCAGAAAATCTGCTCAGGTTCTTGTCTCTCACCCACATAGTACTCCCTAGTTCCCTCTATTTGCTAACTAATATTCCACAAAAAAAAAAAAAAAAAAAAGTTAAAAACTTCTGATTTCTAAGATTTTTTTTAATACCAACGATATACCTCACTTAGGTCATCGAACAACACTTTGTCTCCAGAGATAACATGATATTACAGTGCTCAGTATAGCAATCTTTGTTTAGAAACTTCTCTCGAAAAGCGCAACATGAGAGCTAAGTCAACGGATGGTGAAAAAATACAAATCTTGAAAGGTAATGGGAAGGGTAAACAGAGACAAACACAAGAAGCAAAACAAATTTTCTACCAGTAAAATATACCCAACTATGTCTAGCTGAAACATTTAACTTTGCATTCACTAAAAAGGAATCTTAAACATCCATATTCTTACAGATTTTCAAGGCAATTTGATTGTCACAAAAAATTGAGACAGCACAAAAACAAAAGCTTAAGATTCCTGGGATATAAGACAAACTGATTCTTGCCTGAAATTTACATTAGATGTAATATAAATTAAAATACTAAGAAAAATTATTTGTATAACTGCTTTGTTTCTAAAGGTACCTTACATTAAGCTAAATAGCATTAATTAAAATAGCTGGGGAAGATGTAAAAATAAAAACAAAAATATTTTTCCTTCCTAGTAAAGTCTAAATTCATTTCTGTGTAACTCAGAAGTCAATATAAGCAATTTGTATAATTAAATACTGAAAGTAAACAATTTTATTAACAAATCAGAGTGCTATCATGCAGTAAGAAATGCTAAGGTGCTCATATACTCACGACTCCCAACATCCTCTACAAAAGTCATGTCCACAGGGCATATCCACGGGGTCTTCAAATACAGAGATACTGCACATACAAATGTCACACTGGAGATGAAGAAGAACAATGATTTAAACAGAACTATACTTTTGAAAGAGAACAATACATTCATTTTGTTCACTTTTTTAAAAGGCAAAAATACTAGTACAGTAAATAAAAGTTTTTGGAAGTTACCTTTTTCAAAGTTTTAAGGACAGTTAGTGTGCCCTTCAGTAACAAATACTATGACTACCTCACTATAAACAACAGTGGGATTTAAATGTTTTAATGCAGAAATCAAACCCTTAAATTCCAAATTTATGTATTAATCAGCAACTGTGCATTTGGAAAAGGAAGTACAAGAAATAAATCATTCGGGTCAACATCAAATTGCATGTTGCAAAAAACCATTTCAGTATCATGCCCTTCACATTACACTTACCCTTCAAAATCTATAAAAACAGAGTAACTTTGTATTTTTAATGCAGCAACTCAAGATATCCAGACTTTCCAGGGAGAGAACCCTGTTATAAAACTAAGTATTAGGCCGGGCGTGGTGACTCACACCTGTAATCCCAGCACTTTGGGAGGCAGAGCTGGGCAGATCACTTGAGGTCGGGACAGCCTGACCAACATGGTGAAACCCTGTCTCTATTAAAAATACAAAAATTAGCTGGGTGTGGTGGCACGTGCCTGTAATCCCAGCTACTCAGGAGGCTGAGGCAGGAGAATCACTTGAACCCGAGAGGCACAGGTTGCAGGGAGCCGAGATCGTGCCATTACACCCCAGCCTGGGCAATAAGAGTAAAACTTCATCTCAAAAAAACCCCAAAAAACAACAAAACTCCACCTATGTATTACAACTATGCCATTTTAACAGCCAAAGCTGCAATCACTTTTTCACCTACCTAATACCTTCTAAACAATAGCTCTCTAGAAGCAAAATTTATCATGTTACATACACAAATTACAGGATTCTGTTTTTCAAAAAGGCACAGATAAAATGAGAAGCACTTTCATATTTATCACATATTTCGAGTGGCTGAGTCATTCAAGAAATATTAAAATCTCCTATAACAGCACACCAATGATATGCCAATTAAAAATGCTGACAATGGCTGTACTGTTTTGTAAAATAATGGAACACTTATTTTGGAAATGCATCTAGATAACAAACTACAGAAGCTTTACTGAAACAAATACATAACTATCAATATATTGTAAATGCTTAAAAATTAGCTTTCAAGAAATTATAAAAAATGTTTTTGTATTTTTGGTTTACAGTGCCTATCACAAACTTAACTTTTTATATTTCAATATATTGTATACATGTGTGTGCGTATTTTGAGATGTGGTCTTGCTATGTTGCCCAGGCTGGTCTCGAACTCTTGAGCTCAGGCAATCCACCCACCTCGGCCTTCCAAAGTGCTAGGATTACAGGCATGAGCCACCAGGCCTGGCCTGTATTTAAATCTTCAAGCAATTGAAGTTTTAAGGGAAAATAAAATAGATGGTTTCCCTAAACTGTTTTAAGTTCTCTGTTTGGAAATGAGGAAAGAAACCCTTTTTTTTTTTTTTTTCAATCTATAATTCAGAGATCACAAAAATAGTCTGTAATAACAAATATTTACTGAAGCATGGAAATAACTGAACCTTTCAAGAAAGGGACAGGATTCAATTACAAGAACACAACCAGACACTCCACGGAACAATATTAAATCATTTGAATGTTAAAAGACTAAAAACAAAGCTATGAGAAGTACAGTGAATACCAAACCATACCAAACTAGTGTCTAAGTCCCCAGGAGATAAGCTGATTTCATCTGGGGAGGTGACAGAAGAGCGTGTAGTCCTTGGAGTTCTTGGAGATGGGAGCGTGTCCCAGGCATTATACCCACTTGGTGGTGGAGTTGGCATTTGAACACCTGATCGTTGGCAGCAGTTCTCCGGGTTGGACATCCAAGCTTCAAGTAATTTCTCCCTGTCCCAGTCTTAAAGAAAAATGGAATGGATAGCTCTCAAAAAAGAAAATACGGTAATGTTTTAAAAGCTATATAATAAAAAATCGGAATGAATTACAAATTTTGGTCATCTAAAGAAAAAAGTATTTATATAAACGTAGTAACTGCAAATGAATGTCTAGGTATGTTCATGTTATTAGCATTTTTACACAAAATTTAAGCTTTCATAATTCATCATGGCTTACAACTATGTCAAGATCTAGCAGTATGGTCAAAATTTCCAGTACTTTCTACTAACAATCAAAACAGGTCACTCACATATCACTCTTGGAATTCACTACATTTTCGCTGGCATAGGTTTAATTTAGCTTCTTTACTCTTCCAAATTTTTTATATATATATATATATATATATATATATAATTTTTTAACTGTCCTCACTGGCATCAGGTTATAAAATGATTACATAGTTCACTATAGATATATCAAAATGCCAATAGCAGGTCCTAAAAACCATTTAATAAATAGCATGAAAGCAGAAGAAACTTCTGAAGACATCAGAGTTATAAAAAAAGTTTTAGTGAATTTGGTATAAATTCTATATTAAGTGATCTTGAACCTGGCTTAACTAAAAAATATTATCTTCCTACTGTGAACATTTTAAAAATTGCCAAGTAAAACATATTATAATGTCTAGAGCCATAAAAACCTAACCTTTTAAAAACAACAAACTAATACATTTGATTACTTTGCTAGGTGTTTTACATAATTTCATTTATTCCTCCCAGCAAACTTTTCAATTATTATTTAGGTGAAGAAATCAAGACTGAAGGAAGTTACATAACTTGTCCAAGCTCACAAAGAGATTTGAAACCAATTTCTGTGATTCCAAAGCCTGTGTTCGTCCCGTGATCACACACTATTTCTGAGAAGACTAAAGGGTAAATTATTCACTGTAGGCACATTCCACAAAATTTTATAGCTTAAACACAAATAACTGGAAATTTTCTACATTTTTTTTAACCATATTAAGCCAATGGATTTGGCAGTTTAACAGGATAAATATGACTTTGACATGTAATGAAAACAGGGGTGTATTTCCAGCTAAGGAAAATAAACAAGTACATATATAAATACAGATGCTCCTTGACTTACGATGGGGTTAAGTCCTGATAAACCCACTGTAAACTGAAAATATAAGTTGAAAATGTGTGGTTGACTAGGAGCTACAGCTCACTACAGTGGCCCAGCATCTCAAGAGTAGTATGGTTTCTACTGAATGCATATTGAGTTAGCACTATTATAAGTCAAAAAATCATAAGTCAAACCATCTTAAGTCAGGGACTATCTGTATATACAGAGTTTTTCTGGTGATTATTTTACATAAATAGAATATCATATAAACTTTATCTCCTTTTCCCATTTAATCAACCTGAAAATCTCTCCAATTAAACTAGTTTAACATTATTTCCTTCTTTTTAATGACTACATATTAATCCACTGTGTTTCACTGTGTGAAACAATTTGTGTATCATAATTTAGTCAAATATCCCCCTACTTTGTTTACAGTTATTTTTTTGCCACAACAATGAGGCTGCAATCTACATCAGTGCAGTTAAAAGTATATATTCATGTTTATATTGGTATTTCATTGGTATAAATTCCCTGGAATGAGACTAATGAGTCTAAGGCCCATCGTGTTTTTAAAAGAAAATACTAGATGGCTTTCCAAAAAGGTTATAACAATTTTTTTTTTTTTTTTTTTTTT